TGCAAATTTTTAAATTATTTTTATTTTGGAAATTGGGGGGGGGGGTTTCAGCAAATGTTTTTTTTTAAGTCTGTATATTCCAGTTAATCTATTACTAAAGTAGCTGACGCTTATTCCAATAATCGGTTAATCCGATTAATCATTTCAGCCGTAATTGATACGTCAGCGACAGAAAATCTATACCTGTATTTCTGTATGGCTGCCATAAGCCAGAAGCTAACTTTAAAGTATTTATGATCAAGGTTTTGAATAAAATCACCATTTCCACTACATTCCTTCTTGGTTCATCATTAAAGGTGCGAGTATAAAGTTGTTCCCTGATAGAAAAGACTCTGCAGCTTAATAAGATGCTAATTAGACCGCCTGTGTTAATAAACCTGACATGTTCTAATAACTGGTAGCAGCTCTATTTGCTAACTCCTGTCGTTTCCTCCCTCCGTTCTGGCTCGTCTGATGCTCTGTTTGCCTCATTTCACCTTTTTCTTCACCTTTTCTCTCCTCCGTCGCTCCCTCTGCCTCCTCTCAGGTGAGAAGTGCAGGAGCTTCATTGATCTGGCCCCGGCGTCGGAGAGAGGTGAGTAATGACGGTCATTAAGGCTGCGCCGCCGCTCCCTGCTGCGGCCCACCTGTTCCCAGAGCCCAGGGAAATCCGAGGAAAAGAAGGGGAAAAAACAAAAACATCTCTTTTCTGGGCTCTCCGTGTTTATCAGGAGGAGCTAAACGACTCAAGCTGCAGAGACCGAAATGGGATTTTTAAATTTATTTATTAAAGATGCATCTTCATCTTCTGAAAGAGGAAATGATTAAAAACTCCCAAAAGTGAGTTTATAACAGATGCAGAACCTTTGAAGGAGATGTTGACGATGCATTTACTTAAAATAGAGCAAAGCAGGGCCGGCCCAAGGCACATGCATATTAAACAGCTGATTAGGACCCTCACCACCAGGGGGCTCCCAAGTTCACCAAGCCATGAGCAGGTAGAGGAAACTGAGATATGCTAACTGATCAATGATCAAGCCGATTATCTTTGGTTGATTTATCGAAGTTATTGGAGCCTGAAGCTTTGAGATGATCAGGATGTTCCCTTCTGAATCCCACCTGATCGGTTTTCTGTCTGACTCTAGATTCCTGCTGGTGTTTATATCCTGGAGCTGATGAAAGGAATATCTGAGCATTCAGAAGAAACGGAATATTTTTGGTGCCTTTAGCTTCACACTGAGCTGCTTGTTAATAATAAAAGTTCTCAGATGTTTCATCTGTTAAAACCAGAGCAGCAGCGATGATGGGATTAGCCGGACAACCTTCTTCTTCTTCTTTCATCTTTTGAAGCCAAAATGCTGCTTGGTGAGTTTGTAGGCGGACAAGAGTTCGATTGAGCTTCCAAAACTAAACTCTGATTTAACTACAAACCTGGGGGTGTATTCACACCTGACACGTTTGGTCCGCTTTAAACGGACCAGAGTTCGATTCCCCCGACACACTAAGGGTGTTTTCCCACCTGCTAGTCCGGTAGACTCGTTTCGATTGGGGACCAAACTTCATCATCTGCTCCATCTCCAGCTGCTGTGGTTCCCTTTCTCTCTGCGCCGAGTCAAACCAACCAAACCCTTTGAGCAATCTGTTCCCCTCCTGGCCTGTGGAGGCGCTGCAACGAGAACCACTGGAGGAAACTGTCACGTTTTGCGGTAGTTGAGGTGAAGATGAATGCAGAGGACCCAGCTAGTGGTGTGAAAAAATGATGATTTAATCAACAAACTCACAGAAAACCAGGCAGCACAGGTGAACGAGGAGACAAGGAGTTCAACACTGTTAGCACTGGAGTGAGGTAACGACGACAAGCAATGACTATGACAAGAACCCAACGAAGAAACAGACACATGTGGGAGAAATCAGGGAAACAGGACACAGCTGGGGTCAGTCAAAGGGAAGACGACACAGGAACTAAATTGATTAGAAAACTAACAGAAATTTTCACATCCTCACAGAAACGACATAAAAACCTCTGAAGACACTAAGGGCAACTTCCTTCTTCATGAAATGGAAACAAAAATGGAGGCGTCAGATTTTAGCGGCTGAAGATTTTAGCCTTGCGTTAGCCGTGCGCTCTTGTTCTTTAACTACAGACAAAAGTGAAATCAATCACTAAAATCCTTTTTGTGATTGATTTCAGTGGTTCTTGGTGCAGCGCCCCCACAGGCGAGGAGGGGAACAGGTTCCTCGAAGGGTTTGGTTGGTTTGATTCAGTGCAGTGTGAAAGAAAAACACAGCGGTTAAAAAATGTAACTAACTCAGATGGGAAAACATCCTGAAAACATTTAACACATCTTTAAATTTGAATACCTTTTATATTAAATAATCATATACAATGTAGTGAGTCTGCATTAAACATAATGCTTCCCCAAAGTAACTCAGTTTGTGTGAGTTATTCAGTGTTTTATCAAAATTCAGCTGTGAATTAATTGATGGGATCCTGCGTTGTGAGAGGCCCTGAGGGTCTAAATTTAATTAAATGTCCATTCTTGTTTTGGAAATCTATAGAGGAGCCCTGAAAAAGAAACAAGCTTCACACTCAGGACCCACAGACGTCACGCGCCGCTGACACAAGCATGCGCGTGCACACGCCGTAATTAAAGTCCGTAATTATATCCGCTCGTGTTGTGACTCGGTCTGATGAGCTGCTGCCTTCCTGTTATCAGCCGAGTCCCTCCAACATGTTTTATTGACTGTCTGCTGATACATATTCAGGACGACAGAGGAGGGAAACCCGACACTGCGTCCGCCTGCAGAGGAGTCACACCCTGCATGTTCTCTGTCAGGAGTGAAAAGTTTCTGCTGAAGGGAAAACGGAGGCAGTGGATGAAACGGATACAAAATGCAACAAACTGACTTCCTCTGAATAGTCCTGACTGGGAAATCCTTCGAATAATGTAGCAGGGTACATTACAAGTTTGAATGTTTTGCTGATTAATGTTGTGGACATGTGGGAGAAGCTGATTGTGTTAAATACTGGAGGGGTTTCCTCTTGGTTCTCAAGTTCAAAGTCCAAAAATACTTAAATTAAAATCCTCGTAACTTATGTCATTAAAACTAGTAAAGCTGAAAGCAGGAAACGTCTCCAGCAGCGTTCCCACATCAGCTGTGAGCAGCTGCTGTCTTCCAGGTGTGCTGTGGCTGTCGGTGGTTTCGGAGGTGCTGTACATCCTGCTGCTGGTGGTCGGCTTCAGCCTCATGTGTCTGGAGCTTTTCCACTCCAGCAACGTCATCGACGGACTCAAACTCAATGCCTTCGCCGCCGTCTTCACCGTACTGTCCGGTAAGAAAAGGATAAATCCGCTCAGAGGGATTTTACTCCCCGGCTTCAGCTTATTTCATCACTAAATCCTGAAAATGCTTTTAAATATTCACTTCTAGTATCTGATTTAAGTTGAGACAGAAGAAAGGCTGATATCCGGTTTTTGTTCCTCAGAACAGAGAAAACAGCTTTAGACCAGAAAACATGAACAAGTTTGATTGTAAAATATAAGGCAAATATGCGATAACCTTTTTATTTTACGACTTATTTATTTAGAAATCTACTTTCAACAGAAAACAGATTACTCTCTGAAAGACATTAAAATCTTGAACATTTATTTTATCATTCAGCAGGTAAAAAATAATGAAAAGTTAAAGCATCTGAGTCACATCACATCTATTCTCCTTTTTCATGCAGCTATTTTACTGCTTTCAATTGTTTATTATTTTTTATAAGAAAGTCAAAACATTCGTTTTCCACGTAAACTGGTTTTAAACCAGTAGTGTGATTAGAGCGTTGGTGTCTGAGGAAGTTTCTTAACATTTCATCATGTAGTCCAGATGCGAAAAACTTTTCATTAAAACATAAAATTCAAGCATTTCTAGGATTTCCAGCATTTCTTCTTCATGGCTGGAGGAGTGAGGCAGAGGTTTGGGTTCAGTTCCAGGCTTCACTGTTTTCCTGCCAGGAGTTAAACAAGAAGCCGCCTCTGATCGCTGGTCCTCTGAGGACAGAAACCGGAAGGACGGAAAGACGGAAGGACGGAAGGACAGAAAGACGGAAGGATGGAAAAGAGTTTGGCTGTTTTCTAGACTCATCAGATGATCATGAAACTGAGGGACATAAAACCTGATGGAGGAAGCAAGGAAAATGATGATCAGCAGAAAACTATGGAGGAACGAGGCGGATCAGAACCGGGCCGACCCAAACCCTGAGGCTGATCAGAACCGGGCCGACCCAAGCCCTGAGGCGGATCAGAACCGGGCCTACCCAAACCCTTATGCGCATCAGAGACGTGCCGAACAAGGCCGAGC